CAGGTAGGTACATATTCTTTAATCAGAATAACTCAAGTATGACAGAGGGTCTCTTAGACTGTGTTTCTCCCTTTTTCTATAAACTTCTTTGTAAGATAAATGGTCATTCCACAAGTCTTGGGTAAAACACTGAATTAAAAATGGTCTTGCACTTTATGGAGTTCATAGTAAGATGTAGGGCAGTATTTTAAATAAGTACATATAAGACAATGATAGTGTTTTGAGTCTAAGTTTGAAGTGTAGGATATGTTATATAATAGCACGTACAACAAGCCCTGGGCCTGGTCTGAGTACTCATTTCCTGAAGTAACATTTAAATGACATTTAAAATGAGACTGAAGCATTCGTATTACCCCCATCCAAGTACTGACCAGGCCCGACCCTGCTTAGCTTCCGAGAACAGACGAAGCATTCATTTTACTTACCATGGAAGAGAATTGTGGTGGGTTGGTTCCTCAGCTACTGTAATAAAGTACCACAGCCTGGGTGGTTTATTTTGTGACTCTTCCGGAGGCCGGAAGTGCAAGAATGAGGCATTGCTAACAGGGTTGGCTTCTGGGGAGGCCTTTCCTTCTGCCTACAGAGGACCGCCTCCCTGCTGGGCCCTGATGGTTAGGGCTTTTCTAGGCGATGTTTCCTCTTTTTAGGAGGGCACTAGGCCTGTGAGATTAGGACCCCTCCCTTTTGACCTCATTTTACAATGAACTCCTTAAAGTTCCTGTGTCCGAGTGCAGTGACGGGGGTGGGGAGGTCTGATGTGAATTGGGGGAGCACAATTCAGCCCATTACCGGGCTGGCGATGGGTTGCAGTGGAGGGTGAGCGTTCCAGACTCGGGAAGTATTGCGGTAAAGCACGCGGAGTTTGGAAGGGGAGAAGGAATTGAAAGCATTCAGCTTGTTGCGAGTGGGGTGCAGGAAGTGGGGACCAAAGTGAGCTCCCTTTAGATTAGGAAATCCTTGAGTATTGCAGAATTTTTTATGCTAGAGCTTTGGTTTCATATAACACAACGGGATTGAGAGTAGATCTGGAGCTTAGTAACTGCAAAACCTTCAGCAAATCATTTGTATTAATCCCTAGCTCCTCTAATTTAAAAATAAGAATTAAAACTCTTAATTCACGAGATTGTTGTAGTATATAAAGATTTGTAAAGTATCTTGCAAGCCCAAAAGCAACATGTAGTGAGTTTTGGGGTTTTGAGTTTTCCTCTAGATCAACTGGTTTCTTTGTATGAAATTGCTCTTCCTCCCGTTTGTGGCCATCGACTCGTGAAAGGCCCCAAATGGACTGCTGCTGGGCCTCTCCCTTCCTGTGACCCTCTCCAGTATTCCTATGACTCTCTTTTTTTTTTTAACGATGTAATTTTTTTTTTTAAGAACTAGCAGGATAAAAAGAATCAGGCTGCTCTTTGGATTAGAAATGTGTACGGTATGCTTTTTTTTTTTTTTTTTTAA